TATCTTTGCACCTAAGATAGCGTACAACATAGGCAACCTCCCATCTTCTCCTTCTCCAGAGGGGGTCAAAGGAACTAATCTACTTGTGAACTTCTAATTCTTAGCCATAATCAACCACTTCACTTTTTGCAGAGCCATCTTCAATCCACCATGTTACTGAGGTAGTCATAACAAAACGAATCTTCATAAAGTAGCTGCAAAAGATCCTGGTGCATATCAGAGAGGGAGGGAGGGAGGGAGGGAGGGAGAGAGAGAGAGAGAGAGAGTGAGTGAGTGAGTGAGTGAGTGCAAGGCAGACTGGTGACAAATTAAAAGAGGCTGCTGCCTCTAGAGACCTTCTTTTAGCAATCTCTCTTAGCAATCAGTTTCCCTGGACGTGAACTTTGCTGTTGCAAAAGGACACTTCTATCTGTTAAACCTCAAGGCGTTACTACATCTCGTTTCCCTATAATGTTTATGAGCATTAGATGCCTTCATGTGTACAGCCTGGGTCAGCCATAATGTTTATTTGAGCTAAGAGGCTCCCACAGGAGAGGTAAACAAGGAAAGGGAGAGGGTGGTGGAAATGGAGCCAGTTTTATTTCTAGTTTGCTTGGCTAATGAGGGCTTTTATGGTTTTTTTTTTTACTGTTTTTATTGTTTTCCTATTGTATTCCTATATGTGATTTTGTGTATTTTTTTTAATTAATTTTAATTTTAAAACAAATCATCTTCCAATTATACAGTGTGTCGACTAGGTACATACCATGTTTCTCCAACAATATGGCCTCCACCAATAGGAAGGCCCAGCATGATTTCTAGACATGAGGTGAAATTAAGCCCCACCCCCAAAATTTAGGTCTATTTAAACCATGCATTTCCCCGCCATTTCTCACATTGTTCGTTAGAACTACATGAGGTGAAGAGAAATAAAGGGGAAGGGCGGGGGGTGGGGAGAAAACTTGCCTTTAGGAGTTCCCTGCAGGTAGCCTAGGCTAGAATACCCCGATCTACCGATAGAACATCAGCCGATAGAAGCTCCCTGAAGGCAGAGTCCCCAACCAGTTCGGGGCGAGGCGTGGTTGCCCATATCCCCTCGCCATTAGGCAGTGTCTTTCGGGCGATGGAAGCTCCCCAAGGGCAGTCACCAGCCACTTTTATTGGCTGGTAGAAGTGGCCTCAGGGCAAGCGTGCACACACACTCCCCTCACCCTGAGGCCGCTTCTACCGGACAATCGAAGTGGCTGGTGACTGCACTTGGGGAGCTTCCATCACCCGAAAGAGACTGCCTAATGGCGAGGGGACACAGGCAGCTACGCTTTGTCCTGAAGCGGCTGGGGACTCTGCCTTTGGGGAGCTTTCGTCGGCCAATAGAAATGGCCTCGTGGAGAGGTACATGCGTATGGGCCGCTCTAGGTGGGGGAGGAAATTAAGTCACCCCCAAAAAGACAGCCTAGCCATTTTTTCAGGGGTCAAAAAATAAAATAAAATAAGGCCTGGCCTTATTTTGTGAGAAACACGGTATATTTTGTGCAAATGCTTATATTTTATACACATTTCTTACTCAAGTTACATTCATATTACAGCCTATTCAACCTTATATATCTTATCATTATAACTTTATCATTTAATTTCTAACTCTATTTTCCAACCATTTATGAAATGAATCGCATAATATGTGATTTTGTGTATGATAGCCATCCAGTTGATTGCAAGGTGGATAGCCATTTATAACCCCTTATATTATAGTAGCAGAGTGGGATTTTGGAGAGAGTGGGTGGGAACGAGATGGGCAGCTGTAATGACTCCCCTTCGAAATTCAAACCAACAAAACAGAAAGCAGCCGTTTCACAATTAAATCAAATGGAAAGAAGTCTTACAAGATAATGGCTGGCAGAAACCACAGCATAAATCTTTACTCTGTCCAGCAAACCAGTCCTGGCAATAAATCTCCAGTCTCAGAGCTCCTTGCTGTAACGTCCTCACTCAAATAGTCATTTTGTTCCTGGCCAAATGTACCAGCCCAGCTGTGTCCTTTTATACTCATTGAGGCAACGTGCTAATTTACTGACTTGCTCTTCTCATTCGCTCCAGCTGATTTTGCGTTTTCAACCGTCTTCTATTTTTTACATTTAACCACAAATTTTCCTAGTTCTCATCTCCACTAGAAGACTCTCTCAAAACTTCCCTGTCAGCCATTCTCGGCTGTTGATCAGATAAGGAACCAGAGGAGGTCAAAGGTCCTGACAATTCTAATACATCAGGTCTGTCGTCCTTTGTCACGTCCAACTCCTCATCCTGGTTATCAGTCCAATCAGTAAGCCAGGCCGGCTCATATTTTTCTGCGATGACCTCTTCACTTGAACTCATATCAATCACAGGAGCTGAATCCAAGCCCGGAGCCACAACAGGCAGCATATGAAATAAATAAATAAATCTCAATAAAATTATCAGGAAGTGGCATAGGCTGAATGTTTAATTTTACTAAGATTACCAAGGTTTATATCTTTTAATGTGCATTCAATTGGAGCAAGCCAGGGAGATCATTCCTATATAATTCAATATCTGCAGTGGTGATCAGTTGCTTAATGCGGGCATTGCGACCTTATACTGATGGATTTTCTGTTGAAAATGCTCCCAATTTCAGAATTTCTGCTTACGTGACTCCTGGGAGAAGTCTTTGTGCTATGAGGCTCCTATGGCTCTTTTAATGTGGATCTTGCTGTCTTGGCTCTTTTGAATTTCATAGAAATGTACTTTTTCTTTCCCCGACTTTTAAGTGTATATTAACTTTAATATATGTTTTTAAACTTTTGGCTTCTGTTTCATGAAATTTATTGGCTGCCTTGAATACCCCCACTCATGCACAGAGGCAGCATTGAGTGAATCAATAATTAAAATGAATTCACATCTGAACAGCTTTCCTTTTATCCATGCTACTGGTAGAAATTTCTGCTAGGTGAAGAATCTTCTAGGGGTTTTGTATTTTATGCAGAGGTGAAAAGGCTACAGAATGAATCTGGCAAGCCAGGAACAGGACCATCATAGGCTAAAGAGAATTATTAAATACCTTTTAAAAAAAATATACATAAACATTTTTGGAAAACATCGTTTTGTCCGAATCTGTTCTTTACAACGAATAAGGACCATAGCTAGTACTATAAAAAATATTGTCCCATTTTCTAATAAGAATACTTATCTCATATAATAGTTATACACCATCTCTGTTTTTAATAAAAGCGTTCATTGTTTCTTTCTCTAACTTCTACCCTTTGTCTTTAACAAGTCATAGAATTTATTCCATATCAAGTAGTATTCTGAGTCTTCTTTTTCTTTTTATTTATTTTATTTAAAAATATAAAAAAATATTAGATGCCTTTTAAGCACCCCAAGAAAACAAGTATCTGCTGACTTCATAAGGCAAAAGGAAAATTCTGGAAAACAGAGCTATTTAAAAGCTGTGATTTTGAGTACAGGACCAGGTAGTCCTACAACCACAATTGAGCCCCAAATTTTATCTATGGTCAATTTGCTTTGACCATTAGTAGTTCAGATTCTTGTAGAGAGCTTTAGTGTACATTGAACCTATATAGTCATTTGAACTGCCCGGTCTCCTGATTTCCTGTGCTTGATTCATCTTGGACAAGAAGCCTTCTAGTTTTCAAGACTACCTAAGATTCTGTTGCTGTAACCTTATGTTACATGCATACATAACTTTGATGTTCTAATTTGTCTACATTGGAGATCTGACAGGTGGCTGGAGGCGGTGAAGAACTCAAAGGCGACATCAAATTTCAGTTCAACCCTAACCCTGAACGGCTATGAGTTGTAAGTCTTCTTTGTTGTGGAAAGTTTACATAACTGTCTGATGGTGCAATTCCTCTGTTAGAACTGGTACACAGTTTGAGTGTCTTCCTCAACTCAGAGCTCCTGCTCCCTGAACAGGTGGCAGCCATTACAGTGGGGAGGGAGTTTTGCATGGCTCCAGCTTGTGCACCAATTGTACCCATTTCTGTTTGTTTCTTGTAATCTTTAGTTGCTTCCCATTTGATCACTTCCCATTTGGATTACTGCAATGTGCTTTAAATGGGACTGTCCTTGAAGAGTATTTAGAAGCTTCAGCTAGTCCATAATGCAGCAACGAGGGCAGTTTTTGGTATTGTTAGCCTTACTGGATAGACCAGAAAAAGAAACATAACCAGAAAATCTAATTCTACTTTATTATAAAAGCACATGAACAGAATCTTGAAAGTTTTTGGTTCTTTTGAGACTTTTTGTCATGCCCATTATCCAACTATGACTTAAGCTGTTTCTTATCTGTCCATTCTAAAAGAGGCATGGTGGTCAGAACACAGTATTCCAGGCTAATTCTGCTGTCTGCCAGAGTTCAATTAGGACCAGTTCAAGGTTGATTCAGCCTTCCATCCTTCCAAGGTTGGCAAAATGAGGACCCAGATTATTTGGGGCAATATGCTGATGTTGAAAACTGCTTAGAGAAGGCTGTAAAACACTATGAAGCAGTATATAAGGTCTATTGCTATTGCTATTCCTTAGGCAGCATCTCTTCATCCTGTCTCCCAAGGTCTTTTTCACATATCATTACAGATGTCTCTCACTATGCCCATATAATGCAGCTGCTCTGTGAGCTGCATGACTCCTATTAGTCTCCTGAGTGTAATGCAAAGTTGCTAGTTGTCACTTATAAAGCCTACAATGCAAAGCAGCAGACTATTTGTGGGACCATGTTTCTCCCATTGTTTCTGCCCTTACCATTAGATCCAGCAGAGGTCATGTTTGAGTCCCATCAAACAATGTCATCTTGTTGGACCAAGACGTGATGTCTAAACTATAACAGTACCTGTCTTGGAGAACAGTGTATATTAACTTCAAGGTTAACTTCAGTCTAACAATCAAGTAAGCAATACCCCAACCAAGAAACTATCAAAGAGCCATCAGTAAACAGCTGGAGTATCCAGATGCTATTTCTGCAGGTATTTGGGCCTGGAAATTAGGCAAGCTTTGTTGGAGATATGATTTTATGACTACAATGCATTAGGCATCATAAACTGTTATAGCAATAGCACTTAGACTTATATACTGTTTTATAGTGCTTTACAGCCCCCTCTAAGCAATTTACAGAGTCAGCATATTGACTCCAACAATCTGGATCCTCATTTTACCCACCTCAGAAGGATGGAAGGCTGAGTCAACCTAAAGCCTAGTGAGATTCAATCTGCCAAATTGCAGGCAGTCAGCAGTCAGTAGAAGTAGCTTGCAGTACTGCATTCTAACCACTGTGCCACCGAGGCTATTATTATAAATATAAATATTAATTATTATTCATAACTGTTGGGTTTTTAATCTTTCTATGATGCTGTGAGTTGGGTGGCCATATAAATTGTTCAAATAAAACAAATTCATAAATAATGTTTTTTTGGAAGGTGAATTGTACATAGTTTCTTTCAGTTTCAACATTTCTTCTGAATAAGAAACTACATGAAATGTACAGCTGTTTTTCCTCTCTTGAGTTGCCAGCTGGCAAGACAAAGGGCAACAGCCTGCTCTCTTCTTTTAATTCAACAGCTTTTTACACCCTACAAACAAACAATTCCTGCTTATTCCTATACACTGGGGAACATAATCTAAAATCATAACACTACACAACCCCACTCCCCAATCTTAGATGTTGCTTCCAGAGTCCCTCCAAAGGTTAATGTTGGATTGTTGTTTTAATCTGATAGAAGACAGAAGGTATTATCAGGGTATTTCCATTGTCCCCTTCCATTCATCATGTCCAATTTGTTGTATTTAAACGAATTTAAAGGGCAATCCTTTTAAATTTTAAAACATTTTGAAACAAAGCAAGATCCTTATCAAAGGAAAATGGCATTCTTTTATTGCAGATAAAAAAGAGTTTAAAAAGCCAATAACAGATCTCAGCTGAGAATTGGCTTGTTTGTTTAATTTAAAACTTGGCAGTACCAGGGCAAATTCATTTTTCCTCAGGAGAAGTCAATACACAGGAAAATTGAGGTTGCAAAGTGTGCTTATCCTCAGGTTGGAAAACTCCACCCAAGAATTACCTCCAGCCAGAAAGATGCAAGGAGTATCAACTAATTGATTCATCTGCAAGAGGGAATCCCCTCTTGGAAATGGGCCCACCTGAAGTTTCAGGTTCTATAGCAGGAAGAGCTAAGGAGAGGGAAGGAGAAGGGATGTTGTTATCTGTGAATCATTACAGGCTCCACTCTGTAGATAATTGGATGTGAGGGGCACTGACTGATATTGGGCATAAGGGAACCATTGGGATTGCTGTTGGCATACTCCCCTGCCTGAATTGTTGGATTCTGTTGTTGGGTTGGTGATAAAGTCTCCACTGCTGTTGATCCTTTGGGGTTTTCAATCTGCCACCCAGTAATGTTGTGTTCAGAAACAGCTGTACTCTCCCTAGCAACCATAGATCTAATTGATGACCCAACATATATGATTTTTGTCTCAGGAAATTGAGATGTGATCTAACACTGGAGGGCATTAATATCAATCTGTTGCCCTGGACAGCCCCCAATTCCCTTCCACCTCATTGGAGTCACTGTTTCCTGCAGGGAGTTGGGACTGTTTAATGGGTCTGCCTCAAGGATTTGAGGGACCAAGTTGAGTTCCAGAGAGAGAGCTTGGGGTTTTGCCTATGATGGTCCAGCTAAGGCCTGCTTGCTGCCTGGAATGGGATGGTGTTGAGACCTTAGACTGAATTGCTCCTATGCAACTTTGCACCAAACCTAAGCTGCACCTCAGTTTACTGAGCAGCTCCAGGAGATGCAATGATGCCTGGAGTCCTGTAGAAGGAAGATTTGAAGCAAATCTGACCAGACACAGGTAAGAGCCCATATTAGGGATTACACATGATGTCATAAGTAATTTTATGTAGGGTTCAGGCTGGGATTTCATACTTAGACAGCTTCACTCATGCCTGTTGATTACCATGGAAGAGCTGGGATGTCAGTGATATATTTATCCTTGTGCTCCTTGATCTTTCAGCAGCTTTCAATACTGTTGATCATGGAATGGGACATCATTTCATAATGATTATCTTCTGTTCTCTGATACTTGCAGAGATTGTTCCCTAGATCCCTCCTTGGTGGAGTGCTACTGAATTCTACTGTTTCCTTTCCTTTTCAACATGTACATAAAACAGCTGGGTGAGATCATCCACCAGTCTGAGATTCAGATAATACCCAGTTATCACTTGAGGGTCGTCAAGAAAGGCTACCAAAGTTCTGTTCTAATGCCTGGAGGCTGTGTGCATTTGGATGGGGGAGGAATTGCCTCCAACTCAACCCTACCAAGACTGAATGGCTGTGGGTGTTTGGACCACCCAGATCTGGAGATATTCCCATTTTAATCTTGAATAGGATAGCACTTCCCCATTAAAGGGTGGTGCACAGTTTGTGGGTCTTCCTAGACTCACACTTCTTACTTGATGCAGCAGAATAAATATTCAGTCTATTGGCAAATAATCCTGTCATTTTGTACCAGTGGCGGCTGGAGCACATCAGTTTGTTAGAATGATATTTATAGTATGTGATGAATAGCAAAAGCAGTACCACTGTATGGTATGTAATGTACACTGTATGTCCAAATATATTGTGCACATGCAGGGCTATTTTTCTCACACATTTGTCATCAGAATCTTTAGCGAGGGCATTTTCTCCAGGAAGTCCTTCCTATCTGCTATTACAGTGCAGCAATTAAAAGTCTGTGATGAACTATAATGTGATTATAGTTTGGTACAGTAAAATGTCTCTAATTTGTCAACCAACTACCCCTAGAGCCCAATATTTGTATAAAATTGTGACCTATTTTAAATACTTGGAACTTCAAAAGTCATATTTAGAAACCTCTTCTCCATGCTTAAATACCCAAGCTTATTATTTGTAGTTTTTGTGCTGGCTTGTTCCAGTTACAACTTCTCCAAAAGACTTTCTTATAGTCCCCTTGGTAGAGGTTTTATGGGCCCATATATTGTGCACTAAGGAACAAGTATGGATAAAGCCAAGTTTATATTTACACTGAATACACATGGGGCTGAAAAACTTGGCTCACGTATAAATAGGCTGTCCTATTAATCAGATCTAAGCAAGGATGAAAGGAATTTAAATTAATGATCTTGTTTCAAAATACACTTCTCATTTGTTCACTTTATGTAATTTGTCCCTTAAAAAGTTCCTTAATTCCTTTGGAGACCGCAAAGAATTAAGCTATTTCTTATCTGACCAAATCCATTGTTCCTTGCTTTCGTCTTGCTCAAAAGGGCTGTTAAAATATTTAGGCAGCAATCTTACACATTCTAGATGTGCTGAGTTACAAAAACTCAGGCACAGCATCCAGAAAACTGCAAAAGTTAAAAAATCATTTCCTGTTATAATGTGTACAATAAAAATAGCATCAAAAATAAGATTATAATAGGGAAATTACAAAAAAACAAAAAAAAAATGGAGGTTACAAAGTTTTTTTAAGCGTAGAAAAGAAAAATAACTCTGGCCCTTTCCAAGATATTGAATACCAAGTTTCCTCCTGAACAAAGCTCAGATACCTGGGCTTAATTATTTATATAACAAAGATCAGCACATTGATTCATGTATTCCTATCTTGTTTGTTGTCCTGGAATGGGATCTGGATTAAACAGATGATTCCCCCCTGTGACCTTTATAAAACCTGCTGTGGAATACAGTTCCACTGGCAATGCACCAGTGATCAAAAAGGCAAATCTGTTGGACATGGAGCAAATATCTTGTTCCTGTGTTTGGTCCTTCCTAGGTCTAGAAAGTCTAATGAAGATAGGAATAATTTTTATTTCCATCAAAATGCCTGGTTTGAAATGCATCCTATTCTCTTGCTATGAGGTCTTTCTGCTTAGAGAAGCAAGTGGTGGCTGTGGCTAGGAAGACTTTGGCTCAGCTTCACCAAGTCCCACAAAAGCAGCCTTGCCTAGAACAGGATGCTCTGAGGGGAGTCATCACTGATGCTTCTGTCATCCCTCATTTAGATTACTGCAATTGGTCATAGGTGACGACAAAGATCAATCAGAAACTGTCCATAGTGCAGCAACCCACTTGCTTTGTAGTCAGTCTTATCCTATTATACCATTGCAGAATAGCAATAGCACTTAGACTTATATACCGCTTTATAGTGCTTTACAGTCCTCTCTAAGCAGTTTATAGAGTCAGCATATTGTCCCAACAATCTGGGGCAATTTTACCCACCTCAGAAGGATGGAAGGCTGAGTCAACCTTCAGCCTGGTGGGATTTGATCTGCCAAATTGCAGGCAGTTGGCTGTCAGCAGAAGTAGTTTGCAGTACTGCACTCTAACCACTGTGCCACCAAGGTTCAAGAATAGTCAATCAGTTATCTCAAATGATAAAATTATCCAGTTCTGCCCAGCCTGTCAGAGAATGCCTGATCAGAATCTGTAACTCCAGGAGATGAAGCGATAGAGGCCCAAAGGTGGCTATTACTTATAGGGACTTCCCTCCTTATCTTCTGAGATAGCAATGGCCCACCCTTATGACCTTCTGGAAAGTTGTAAAAAGCTGCCTTTTTTTCTGGAAGTTCTTGGAGTTTTACAACTAGCATATCAGTGATGTCTTGCCCCCAAATAATAACTTGTTCCAATAGCTTCATGCAGATGTTAAACAGAATAGAAAGAGGATGTTGAAGAGAAAAGAAAGAGAAGCGAGACTTGAAGTACCATATGTGGAAGCAATTGAGGGTGCCTTTTCTCTCTACCTTCCCACCATATCTCCAACTGGACTTATCCACTTAAGTAGAACCAGAACTTTGTAAAATGATGTCCACCAACATCACGGTTCAAAATTTTTCTCCACAGGTTCTTCAGAATCTGGCTTTTAGTTTCATAGAGCATCACTGTTCTTATCTTTCTAAGTACAGACAAACTGAATCACAGTATCTGAATACAGTAGAACCTCCAGTCATGACCATAGTCCATTCCATGACTTTGGTCACAACCTGATTTGGTTGTGACCGGAAGAGAGACTGACTGTGCATGTGCTTAAAAAAAATGCCATGGAAGGGGAACTCACCACGGCAGTGTTTGATTGCCACCAAGTATTTGTTCTCGACCAGATGCAAAAAATTTCTGAAATTTTTGGTCATCACCTGATTTGGCCATAGTCAGAAGAGAAGAGTTTGTGACCAGAAGTTCTACTGTATCTTTTCCAAGCTTAATTATTGCTATTGTACCTAGTGCTAGTCTATGGTGAATTTCTTGACTGCTGCGTCCTTTATGGTCAATAGTTGATCCTAAAAGGCAAAAGCCACCCACTACTTCAGTATCTTCATTGTCAATACTAAAGCTGGTTGCTGCACCTGTCATGAGTTTGAACATTTTTTAAAATTTAATCTTAGTTCCATTTTTTTTTCATGGTGATCCTTGACTTTAATTCCAAGAGCTTTGCATTTTCATCTACCAGAGTATTTTCATCAGCACAGCACAGGTTATTGATGTGTCTTCCTCTAAGATTAAAACCCTACTCATCTTCTTCTTCCAATCCAGTTTCCCTCAATATATTGATTGAATAATAGGGAGAGTCTACTAGAGAATGACAGAATGTGAGCTGGACTACGCTTCCATAGAGATAGAGACAGGGTTGGTTAGAGCCAACAATTGTCAATGACAACGAATCTGAAGCAGGCCTGTGCTATTTAACATATTTGGACTAAGGGTTAGAAAATAATATTATCAAATGTACTGATAACACAAGCTAGGGGAAATAACAAACATTATCAAAGTTCAGAGTAATTATCTGCCAAGATAAATTTGAACAGGAACAAATGTATAACAATAGTATACTAGGGCCACTTCCTTACCAGGTAATATCAATATTAGGAACAAATGCAAACATTTGATATCAATATCAAATAGTGTAATAAGATTGGGACTGGGTTAGGGACTTCTGTCCTCACTGTGAGTTGTGTTGTGGGGGTGCATGTGCATGAAGGGAAGCTCAGCCAATCTCATTGTACATATGTTGTACTCTGACAATAAAGGTAATAATAATATTCAAAGCTTAAGTGTACTGGGCAGTATATGAAATATAGATCTAGGTGTCTTGATGGATCACAAATTCAGTGTGAGTTAACACCATGAGGCAGTTGTAAAAAAAAATGTAACCTGCATAGCAATAGCAACATCACTTAGACTTCACAGGGTTTTACAGCCCTCTATAAGCAATTTACAGAATCAGCATATTGTCCCCCAACAATCTGGGTCCCCATTTTACTGACCTCGGAAGGATGGAAAGCTGAGTCAACATGGAGCCAGTGAGACTTGAACTGCTGAACTGCCGGCAGTCAGCAGAATTAGCCTGCAATACTGCATTCTAACCAACGCACCACCATGGCATATACAAAAATATGGCAAGTTCAAGTGGTTTCCCTCTGTTTTACATTACTCAGACTATGCCTAGAATATTGCACAAAATTTTGGGCATGGCATTTCGAAATAGCTCTAGATGAGAGCCTGGGAAGACTCTTAGAGAGAAACACTTATAAGTAATAGTTGGAGGCACTGAGTATGATTTATCTGATAAATAGAAAGTAGTGGAGAAACAGGATCATAGTCATCAAGTATCTGAAGAGAGCTGCCATGTAGAAAATTAGAATGGTTTCTATGACAAGAATTAATGTGGTAAAATTACAAGGAAATGAATTTTGGTTGATTAGGAAAAAATGTCTAGGAACAAATGCCTAAGGAAAAAGTAGAATCTCCTTCACTGCAGGAGATGAAACAGAAGTTGGGTAGCCAGCTGTTGAGGCCAGATGGTTTTCTGTTGGGGTACCTTCAACAAAGAATTGGACTAGATGATCTCCAAGGATTTCCAGCCCTTGCAGAATGTTATTATACACAGTAATATTATATTCTAGAAAGGGGTGGGATTCAAATTTCTTAACAACTGGTTCTGTGGACATGGCCTAATTTGTGGGTGTGGCTTGATGGTCATGTGACTTGGTGGGTGTGGCTTGCTGACTGGGGAGTGACTTGGTGGTCATGTGACTGGGTGGGTGTGGCTTGTATGTAAATATTGTAAATATTTATGTAAATATTGTGTATATATATATATATATTTTTTTTCTTAAGTTTTCACGGGTATTTATATGTATGGTATACAGCTTTGTTCAGGTATTTTCCCACGTCATTATAGTTGTACTTTTAAAGTTGTAGCAACGTTTCAGCAGAATCTCATCTGCCATCATCAGGCTTCTGCATAGTGTTCCTCTGTGAGTCAGACTTTCACAGCCGTTTCTTTTTTAAATTTGGTGCTAGCCTACTGCTGTGCCAGAATGGTTTTTTCTTCCTCCTGATTGGTTGGGAGTCTTGGTCTGTGTTTATTGGTCTTGGAGTTTGCTGTGTTCTGCTTGATTGGTGTTTCTAATATCTTCTGTCTGTTTTGTAGCTTTTTTTGTCTTGATTGGCTGGCAACATTGTGTTTTCTGTATTGGAGGCTTTTAGTGCGGCTTGGCTCCGAGTAAATGGACGGGTATCATTTATTAGGAAGCTAGGTTTCATCTGGGTGCCTGGTTGGGGTGTGTTTGAGCTGGAGGTATCAGGGGGAGTCTGTTTGTGCCCAGGTGTTGGCCTGGCTTGTGGTGTGGAGATTTTTTTTGTTTGAGAGTGCAGGCTTCCAGATACTTGACAGTCTGGTGGAGTCATCACTTCTATTCATGCTTTCAGGTCTTTTTTCAATCTCTATGGCTTCTCTGATAATTCTGTAGCTGGGGTTTTCTATAGTGGCTAGGGTTTGGGTGCCATTGAAGTCGATGCTATGACCTGTGGCTTTCATGTGTTGGACTAGTGGGGAAGTGTGTTCCAGCTTTTTGACTGCATTTTTGTGTTTATCCAGGCAGGTACTTATTCTTCTATTGGTCTGTCCAATGTATGTGGCAGGGCATGATGCACAGGAGACTTCATATATGCCTTGGTTTTCAGGTCAGTTTTATCTTTGGGGTTTCTTAGGATGGCTGCTATTTTTCTGTAGATAGATAGATAGATAGATAGATAGATAGATAGATAGATAGATAGATAGATAGATAGATAGATAGATAGATGATAGATGATAGATAGAAAGCAACTTCTACCCGAAATAAGGCAAAGCAGATTGAGTTGCTTGCAGAATCACAGATTCACTCACAGATCTACCTTTCTGCAATCTGCTGCCTGAGTCTGCACTGAAAAATAGAAGCTTCAGTCCTAAGGAAGGTTTGGCTCTGCTCTCAGGCCACTTCTTACCCACCCCACAATCCCCTGAATACCACCCCTGACTGGGCCTCAGGGAAGCCTCCTGGGTGAAGGCAAAGCAGTGCAACAGCGATTTAGATTAGCTAGAAAGCAGAAATCTGACAGGCCAGTCAGTGGCACTGACTTGCCAGTTCTCCAAACTGCACAGAATCATAACAACCGATTCTATAGAGCTGGTCCGAACTGGTAGAATCCCACCCCTGATTCTATTACCATGCAGAACTGGCATCTGAGGATCTTTTTACTTTATGAACTCTTTCCTTTGTCCTTTTGTAGAAAAATCTTAGAGCCACTTCTCATATCCCTGCAATATTTAAAATGTCAGTGAGTCTTCCAAGAGACATGTTCATTCTTTCATTATTAACTCAACTTACAAACCTCTTCACATGAAACCTTTACTCATGGCCAGATGTAGTTCTGTCCTTAGAGCAATTAGTGGCTTCCAGGTGTACCAGCTTTCAGCTTTGTAATTCTCAGCCAGCATTCTTGTTGTCTGGGAACCATGGGAACTGCGGTTTAACATATCGGAAGGGAATAAGGTAGGGGAATACTGCTCTAGTATAGTGATAGTTCTTGATCCATGACCTACCAGTTCACACCTATGATCAGTTATAGAGCCCTGCAATCACATGATCACCATTTGCAATCTTCCCTGCTGTTCCCCCAGAAAGTCAATGGGAAACCTGGCAGTGAATGTTAGCAAGTCACTGGGAGTAAGTCTCCTCCACCTGTTTACCTTCCCCGAGCTCCTCTTTGCTTGCATAATTCAAGCCATTCATATACCTTCATATACCTTCCCTGACCTGTACCATTTCATATCCTTCCTGGCCCTTGCTTTAGATCTTGCACACTGTCTCACCCTTCCTAAACCTCACTGCATCCTTGACGCACCTCTCACACATACCCTCCACTCCTTCCCCACTCTTGCCTCACAATCCTCCCCCATATTTCCATGCAACCCCTTGTTCCCTTCTTCACCCTGTAACAGCTGCTTAGCTGCCTGCTGTCATGGGACTTGCAATTTCCTACTGGCTTCCTCACTGACTTTGGTTGTGGGAAGCCAGCAGAATTTGCCTTGCCTAACGACTGTAGGATTTTGTTAATGATGGCAACCAGAACTATAGGGATTGCTGTTGCTAAGCAATGTGATTGTGTTTTACAACTGCATATTTTAGTAACTCTTTTAAGTTGAGATCTACCTGTACTGTAGTGTAGACAACCGAAGAAAGGACCTTGGAGAAGATTTCCAGAGGCTATTAGGAAACATCAGGTGCAAAGGAAACATGGAACTTTACAAATAAAAAACTAATAAAAAAGAATTTGCTTACTGAACTAGTGTTATTCTTAACTATTTTAAATTTATCTTTTAGTTCAGCTCCTTCCTTTCTTAGCCTCCCCAGAGTTCCCAGCAACTGGCGAGGAGGAAGCATACTTGCATATCTGTCTAAAATGGTTAATGGGAGCTGGGCAAGTCCCTGTGTATTATCATTAACTGTATTATCAGCAAAGCATCCTAAACCTGGGCAAAAACGCTGCCCTTTATAAAATGGATTATTTGAATGAATTACTGTAAAAAGTAATTTAGGATCCAATCTGGGTAGCTCACTGGGACGAGGGGTTTAGTCTATTAGAAGACTAAACCTCTGGTTCCAGTGACTGACCCAGATTGGATCCTGCAATGTTACACATATATTCGCCTTCGTTCATAAAAGTAGTTTAAGATTTTCAAGTGTAAAAGCAATTTAAGAATTCATTGTTCAATCTAACTAAAAATTTTAGAAAAAATTTATAAATTCTAGAAATTTTAGTTCTAATAACTAAAATTGTTCAATCTTTTTTTTAAATAACATTCTTATTAAGTAAATCGATACATTTGGGGAGATTATTTGTCTGTAAGCATCAAACACAATAAGAATAAATGATGTGTGTATACAATACATTATAAAAAAGTAAAGGTTGTTTTATTGTTCACTATATTTGTTGTACTGTGTATTCATTACAATTGTAGTGCAAAAGAAACCAAAAATATTTGAGACATGCAAGGTATGCCAAACTCTAAAAAAAAGGTCTATCATAGATTATGAACTATAGACAATCCTAGTCCCACTGGGAAAAAAAATAGAAAAATGGAATTTCTCATTGACTTCATTTATTATTCATCATTATCCCACTCTTCCTTGACCATTTCTCCTCTAGTTAATTATGGCTTTTGGCTATTAAAAAATTGATTTTCTTCAAGCTGTTCAAATGTATCACCCTGATGGAATTCTTTTAAAAATGTTCTAAGAAATTCTCATGTGCAGATGGAGGTATAAAGAAAGGCAATACTGTAGCCAAAATCTATGAAGGATTTAATGCATTTAAACTCAGTGATATATTGTCTTCATGAATACTATCTGTTTCTGACTAATCCAGAACATGTTTTTCAATTTCAAGAGCACGTTGGTTATTTTTAGCACAATACCTCACTTGTTTTTTTAATCAACCACTAGGATCTATATAACAGTTGAGATTAATAATCAATTTGTATTAATAAATACCACACACGGAGCAGCACACTTTTTGTTAGAGAGAAGTTCCGTGAAGATGGGCTCAGCACAAGTCCAAAAGCCTGGAAGACAAAACAAAAACCAGTGACTGACCCAGATTCGATCCTGCATCCAGATAAAATGTTTATTGTATTAAAACATGTGGCCTATGTAATACATTAAGGATTATTGGGGCATTGTAGGAGATGACCAGGTTGAGCCCAAGGGCAGGGTGAAACCAATGGTGGGATTCAATATTTTTTACTACCAGTAATGTGGACGTGGCTTGGTGGGTGTGCCAGGGGAAGGAGACTGTAAAATCTCCAGTCAGAGGTGGTATTTGCCGGTTCTCCGAACTACTCAAGATTTCCGCTACCGGTTCTCCAGAACTGGTCAGAACCTGCTGAATACCACCTTTGGGTCAAACATATCATCAGTTGGAAGTTGCTGTGTTCACACAAGAGTATGAAGAGCCCACACAAGAGTCCAATCCCTTGCGAATTCCATTAACTCTAGTAGATCAGATTCTTGTCTATAGGTAGCATGAAACAAACTTGCAGTACTTTTGAACTCTGTTCCGGCTCCTGACAGGCATAGCCCTTTCTTGAAATATTTACTGGATAGGTGAAGCAGATATTAGAAGAGCTAGTTACTCCATTGAGCACCTTCCAGCTACCTGAGGAGAAAAAAAAGATGGCAGAGATGGAACACATGGTTATGTAAAGCTATCACTTGGAAGTTCTCTGCAAAAGGCCTGAGTGAATAAGATCAGTTTCCATAGTTTCCCCTTCTCGGTTGTTATGCCTTGGCCACCATTTCAATTTATAGCTGTCACCTTAGCTTCAGATTAGTTTCAGCAACACACAATACCATTCCCATTTAGACAGACCAATTTGCTGCAGAGTAATCTCTCCTTTTTTCCCCATAATCTTGAGACTAGCATCAATATGTTGATGCCATGTATTATTGTACCTCTGACTTCAAAAGGAATATCTTACACTGCTATAGACTTGGAACTTATTAGCATAAGTTAATAATGAAGATGAAAATTAAGAACTTCAGCTCTGCTTTGAAGAAATATGCAAAATATTATCCGAGTGCCTGTCTATAGTTATTACCATAATTTCATTTATTTACAGTTTGTTAGACCACTTTGAGAACATTAGCAAGCTCAGTAAATAAAGGGTTTGACTGAGCAATGCTTATCAAATCTAGATAAATTCTCCATTCTGAATTTCTGCTGTAACAAATGCTTATCACTGTATGCTTTATGATTTTCAAGTCATGCATTCACTACCCACAAAATCCAATCACTGTATGCATGTGTATTTTGGCTGCAAAAAAAGGTCATGCTTTTCCTTCATAAATCTCTCTCCTCTTGTTGACTATGAAGAAAGTTCTTTTATGTTACTTTACCCAGGAATCTGTCAACAGTTGCAGCTACTGCATGAGAGTATGGTAGAAGAGCTGTGTTCATTGCTTAAAACAATAAACAAATGGTGTACATGTGTTTGCCTGAAAACAAATTTAGCATAGAAAATCAGGGGGTGAAGATGCATAAGAAAAGGCTGTTGATTAAAGGGAAGCAGTTATGGCAGTCTTAAAAATTATTAACTAGTTGTCTACAGTAATTTCTCAGGGGTCCTGTTTTGACATTTTTTGCTGATGGTTCCAGCACAAATTGGCAACATGTCTTGGACCAGTATTTCATCACAAGATTTAACTAATTAACTCCCTAAAATATACAACTGAGTCAGAGGGCCCCTAAAATTGCCAGCATACCTTTGCTCTAAGGTAGCAATAATTTCTTTTGGAAGAGACAAATAAAGAACTCTTAACACTACAGTATGGAGAGACTAATAAAATACATTTAGACACTGCTAGTAATCTAAATTTCACATAAATATTGTTAATTTGCTGGATAGTAGTGGGACCAATTCACATACTTTAATAGCAAATTAAATTAAAAACATTTTTTTCTAGTCTGAAGAGCTTCTACAGAAGTTACTCATTTATTTATTTAAAACACTTATATAGCAGCCCATCTTTCAACCAACTCTGGGTAGCTCCCAGCCAAAAATTAAATGATATATAAAATCGTTTTAAGACTGTAAAACTTCAACCAATGAAAATATTAAAAAAACAAAAGTCAATCAATTCTAACATGTGATCATCTAATATTAATACTTTGTGAGAAAGCCAGGTCCCTTAAAGCCTTATGGAAGACTAAAAGGGTGGAGGCCTGCTGAACTTCAGGGCCAAGGTGTTCCAAAGAAAATGCATACTTCCTACCTCCCATCCCTTCCAATACTTAGGGGAAGGGAATTGTTGAAACACGTCCATGTTTTTTGTGCATTTAATTTTTTCCTCAGAAAGAAGGTATTTGTTCTCATTTGATGTCTGCAATCCTATGGACTGCTGGCCAATTGCAAAATATACAATGCCATAAGGGTGAAATGTCATATATATGCATAATCAAATGTCCAATCCTTCCCTCAAATGTCCCATCCTTCCCTCTAGGAAAAGATTGGTCCTATTAATACAAAGAAGTATTAAAGAAAGGAAGAATGAGAAGAATGAATGGTCAAGGCTAGAAGAGAGCAATGGTGACCATCTTCCCCACAGTTTTTGATTCAAGGTTCATACTTTTGGGCACTAGGACAGCAGTCCAGTTATCCTGATGGGACTAATGAATCCACTTGAGCTCATGAAATTGGAATTTCAAGACAATCTTTTTTTTATTTATTTGTTGAGAAAGATACAGTTTACTAGAGGTCCAGTGAAATACACCAGTGCAAAGCCAGAGCTGAAATTTGCATGCCAAAATCTCCAAATCTAATTTCCCTTCCCTTAGATGCCTCCCCATTCTGCCCGCCCCACCATGTCCAATCAAATTTATTTCAGAACAGTCGCTTTGATATGCAACTACATTCCATTGCTTGAAATCACATCTCAGGGAAATACAGTTAATGTTTCGCTTTCCTTGAATCCTCCCATCCAGTTCCCCTAGAGGTCATGGCAGTCTGGCACTGAGTGATAGCAAAAGGCAAGCATGAAGCGAACCAAAGAGCATACAGTAGAGCATGACGGCTTAGAAGCTGCCATATATATGAAGAATTCAAAGCATTCCAGAAAGAAATGGAAGAAATGCCACTAGAGTTAACCCAGGAACTACCCTACATCTAATCTAACTGCAGCTAGAACACATCATCATCATCCAACTGGCCACCAGAGGGCAAACATCGGTAATCTGCTAATTAGTGGAACCATGAGATGATTTTTTTAAAAAGGTGAATGAAATCAAATATATTTTTCCAATTTAGCAAGAATTATAAAAATATTCTTTGTAATGTATGATTATTTTCTGCAGGTTTTGCTTTTCCTGGCAAAAGTATGTTGCTGTTATTTAGATGCGTGAAGCACACCAAGTCATTTGTCGAATCATAAATGAATTTTGCTTTGAATGATGCTCTCTGCATACCTATTTTTCATAGATAGTTGAAGTTATCTTTTCTTCTTCTTTCTGTAATCTCATTTGGATGTTCCATTAAAAGAAATGAATAGACTTACACTGAAAGGATGACAAATAAAAACACTTCTGTTTTGTTCTATTTGGGCGGGGGAAAGTGAAGGCTCCTTGAACTCAGTATGATTATGCAATATTTGCTGTCACCAAGTAGCTCTGAATTATTATGAACAGTCTTGTGTTTTTTCAGTATCTGGAATGCCGCCTGTTCATGGCTGACTCCAATTCTTTTGAAAGAATGATTTCAGAAGGTAATGCTTGAGGGAAATTCAATGCCTCCATCTTATTTAATATATACTCTATGGTTCTGCTTCAAAGATGCATACAAAGCAACACACTTCTAAAAGTGAAGAAATAGTAACAGTTTTACTTTAAGTAGTTCCAAGCTGTTTTAACAGTTCCAATAGATCAGCAAATGGAAACACCCATAAGGTGTGATGTAAACTGCTTTTGATAAAGCAAATATATCACCCTTGCCTCACCCTATCCCTAATATATAGATTAATGGAAGTGGCCAGCCATTACATTTGGGGCAAATGTCACCTGTAAACTGATTAACTCTAATTTAATTTCTCCACTTAAATCTTAGAAAAATGTCAGTTTTTAATGGAGTGTTAGATATTGGTTATAAATAAATCCAGACAATATAAATTATTGTTTGTGCAAGAAAAGCAGATTATGTCCCCTCCTCTTTGAAGAATTAGATTCACAATAACTTCCAGCCTTACAGTTTCAATTTGATACCAAAAAATCAGTAGTATACGGTGTATTCAGAAAGTATTCAGACCACCTTCACTTTTGTTATGCTGCAACCTGATTCTACAGTTGTTGAAATACATTTTTCTCTCTCATTAATCTACACTCAATACCCCATAATGACAGCATGAAAACAGAATTTTAGAAATGTCTGTAAATGTATTAAAAAGAAAAAAACCTGAAACATCACATTGGCATAAGTATTCAGACTCTTTGCAACAACACATGAAATTTAGCTCTGGTGCCTCCCATTTCTCTTGATCGTTGCTGACATGTTTCTACACTTGGATGTCAACCTGTGGTAAATTAAATTGATTGAACATGATTTGGAAAGGCACACACTTCTCTGTAGAAGGCCTCACAGCTGACAATGCATGCTATAGCAGAGCAAAAGCCACGAGGTCAAAGGAACTGCCTGCAGAGCTCAAGAGACAGGATTATTGCAAGGGACAGATCTGGAGAAAGCTACAATAAAATTTCTGTTGCACTGAAGCAGTGGTGGGATTCTACCCGTTTCCCTACCGGTTCGGTGATCGCGCCCTTTGCGTGTTCGTGCGGACTTAAACGTGCACAGCTTTCCTAACACCAGCTGAGGCTCTACCACGCCAATTAGCTAAGAGGATAAAGAACGAAAAAGTGTAGGTGGGAGGGCTGATCCTGCGCTTTTCTCTCCTTTCTCCTCTCAGCTGATGTGGGAACATTTTTTTTACTACTGGTTTGGCTGAACTGGGTCGAAACGGTAGCACTTCACCAAAGTACTAAAGGTTCCTAAGAGCACAATGACCTCCATAATTCTCAAATGGAAGCTGTTTGGTGCAACCCGGACTCTTCTAACCATCTCAGCATCCTTGAAGTCACATGATTGTGATCTGGGCACTTGGCAACCATCTCATATTTATGATATTTGCAGCACCCCAGTCATATAATAACAATTTATAGCCTTCCCTGCTGGCTTCTCACAAGCAAAAGTGACGGGGAAATCATCAGGGAAGGTTGCAAATCACTGAAGTAAATCTCCTGTGCCCAACAGTGACCTTATGATCACCCTGTCCCACATCTTTGAATACCCTTCTGCAACCAGCCGCAGCAACCCCAAGTCTCTCTGCTTCTCCCCAGCCATTCATCCATCCATGCCAAGCTTTACCACCATGGCTCTCCAGCCACTTGCACACCGTCACCCATCCAAACCTCGTGGCCATTTGCTCATTATCCCTGAACTTTGCTGTGTTCCTGCTGCAGCTCCCTGGCAACCTGCACACCCTCATATACTCTCTTGTAGGTGAAGATGAGAGCCTGGGGCAGAGTTGAGAGAGGAATCAGCCTAGCATTGTTACATTCCCACAAGTGATCCAAGCCCTGCCTCCCACCTGAATTCTGATAATGCTTATCGAGTGTCAATGTAGTGCTGTTAAGATTCTTGTGTATAGGCACGAGCAATAAATCAGTTTAACTGGAACTTAATGCGCAGTCCTGATTCTTCACATTTGACATCTCCCCTGCCAGATGTAAGCCACTAACCATCTCAGCAACTTGCTTGCCTGGAACTTCTTTCTGGCTTCCCCATTGACTTTGATGGTTGGAAGTCACAGGGTTCCTTAATGACCTGCAAACCTTGCAAAAGGATAGGAACAGGGACTGCAGGGATTGTTGTCACTAAGTAATGAGGCCATGTGACATTACAATTTATGACCACATCAGTTAGCCATGGAAATTTGGGGCCTAATTACCATCATGAATTGAGAACTACCTACAGTCAGTAGTATGTTTTCCCAGCTCCAGCTAGCATGTTAATTGTAATGCCTGATCAGTTTCACAGGTTGAAATTCCTGTTTCAATTATTTTAATGCAAGCTATGTGGGACTGCCTATGAAAAGCTTTTACGAGACTTTAATTGGTCACAAATATTACAGCCAAACTATTAACTAAGACCTAGTTACAAGAAAAATTATAGCTTTATAGATTATTGAATCATTTTAAGGCAGAAATCAGTTCATGTGTCCTATAAAATGTTATATAAAGTACTGCATTCATATATATATATAATGGTCTGGATTTTAAGATTCTGAAAACATACTTTTTAAAACCCACACCCTAATCCGAGGTCCTTTTAGTAGGAATATGAGGATGTTCTTGGTTTTTTGAGCCTCAGGAACTTGTCCTTTTGTTGAAAGGCAGTGCTTTTCTACTGAGGCAGGCTTTTGATGTTTAATGAAAGTTCTTCCTGATATCAGTTTTAACTAATGGGTGATAAATATGTACTTCAGCTTAAATGTTACTAACCACTTTTTTTCTCTGAATTACAACAACAGTAATGATAATTATGATGATAACCTTGGGAAGGACTCAATAGGTAGATAAAAATGTCAAATCCAGTCCAAACACCTGACTGAATGTGTAAACAACCATATACAACCATCAAGATCTGAAAATAGAAACCAAAACATTATGGCATAAATCAGCCATGGTGGTCCCAATCAAGGCAACACTAAGTATCTTGGACAACACTTGGAAAATCTGTGCATTGACCATGTTTTCATCAACTGCAAAAGGTCCGTTGCTTGCATCCCCACATGTACCATGCCAATACTTTACAGTACAACACCTTAAGTTCTTTGGAAAAACCTGATGTGAATGAAGGCCAACACTAGCTAAAGAACTGATGTCTCTGATTTCACATTGTTGTGGATCTAATGATAATAATAATATACCATTTTGCATTTCATTCTATTGAACATAGGACACCGAATGTCTGTCACTAAGTTCAGTTTCAGATGTGCCCTGAAGAAGCTAGTGGTAGTGGCATCAATAGTGGAGGTGTGTGTGTGTGTGTGTGTGTGTGTGTGTGTGTGTATGTATGTGTGTGT